CTGCAGAAATGACTTGGCTTTTAACAGAACAACAACTATTCATTTTTTGCAGGTTCTAATCCGGGCTACTGCCCTAATCCGTACTTGGTCATTACTCACTCCGACGGAGGCCAGGGCGCGTTTGGTTACTGGATCTGTCCGGTGGGAGATGGTAGCGCGGGATATCTTCAACCGGTTTGGATGGCGGTCATGTAATAGGATAGACGCTTAGTTTACCTATCTCTCTCTATTATGCCAGCCGGTTGTGGCTTTTGGGCCTTGTTTTATTTTGCTTGCTCTGTGTGAGCCAGTTTCCTTTGCTGCACCACTTTACAAGACATTGTTGAACTACTTATTTATTTATAAATGTGGCCGTATGCATCTTTCTGATGCAGAGGCCGGGGAACCCCCCCTTTTTCGAAAAACCTACGCCAGATAGTTGACGGGAACGCCCACTAAACACGCGTCATCGAAAATCCTGAAATAAATTAAATAAACTCAGAAAAATGCGAGCATCGGCACTTGAACTCCCTGATGGGTTCGGGATATCACTGTTGTCCTAACGATCCAACCATAGGTTGATTCGCGATATTCCTACATACTAGTTTCAAGAAAAGATGTTCGTTCAGGCATAGCTCCAAAAAATTACGTTTGTACGAAGGTCAACTGTTCACGATCGAGCTGGAGCTATCAGCATATGATCACTTCATTTGGTAGACAATACATTACGGATAAAATAAGTACCATTGGCACACAATTTCGAACAAATTAATTAGCATGCACGCCACATGGAACAAGCTAGCCACACTGCCCCTATGTGCTGGACAAATGGCGACATGTCAGACCACGAGTGTTGTTTCTTTTCGGAACCCCGCCGGCTGATTGATGCAGACGCGGTGCCGGCCGGTGGGACGTACATCACAAACCAACTTCTCAATTTACTCGAACAAAACGAAAGGATCAACTGTGATTGTTGTATTTAGAAAGACTTGCACTCAAATTGTTTTGGGATCCGCTCCGGCTCCCGAGCTAGGGTTCCTCCCCGCCGCCGCCAGCCTCCCTCGCCTCCTTCCGCCGGCGCCGGCCGCCGGCGCGCGTCCCCGACCCGCCTCCCTCTCCTCCCCTCTCCTCCTTCCCCTTCGCCTACGTTCCTGTCGCCCCTCGAGGCGGCGGAGCGCCCCTGCCCTCCTCCCCGTCTCGATCCCACTCCTCTCCTTCTCCCTTCGCTGCCGCCGGCAGCAGCCTCCGGCGTGCCCGGGTGGCAGCGGCAGCGGCGGATGTCCCTTTCCCGCACGCCTGAAGGGGGAGTCGGAGCTCCCTTCTACCCGGCGGCGGTGCTGCTCGGCCGGCGACGGTGGGGCCCTAAAGCCACGGTGGACATAGAAATCTCTGGCGGCTCGTTCGCCACCGGCGCGGCTGCGCCCGTGGGCGTTGCCGGACCCTCCTGAGGGGCGTCGGTGATACCCCTTCCCCATTGCCATCCATGTACCGGGAAAACCCTAGGACTTGTCCGGGCAGCAGCGTCGTCGTCGTCGCATTCCTTCATGAAAGTGTTGCTTGGTACGCGAGGCTTCGGAGTGCTTGGCAGGTGGTGGTACTTCTCCGGAGGGTGCAGCGGGTGTCGGCCATCTTCGCTTAGTTGAGCTGCCGGCGTCGACATTTGTTTCTTTTTTCTTTTTTTCCTTTTTTTTGGGCTCGTTTGTGCTGCGGCCCCAGCAAGCTCGTTGTATCGGTTGGTCGTTGCTTTATATAATCTAAAGCGGGGAGACCCTTTTTCGTAAAGGATCATCTGTGAGGATAGATGCATAAGTAGATTGTTCATATTATATTTTTCCAAAAGTTTGACCGACGCTCCAGCTACTTTAATCCTAAATTCAGTTTGCTTACAAATTTCATATTATGCCGCATTCGGTGCAAGTAAAGTAGTTCATTTGGTCACACATAAGGCCATAGAAAGCTTAAAGTAGGACTTGCACATCAAAACCATGACACACCATCAAATGGAGAAACAAAATGACAAACAATCTCGCAAAATGTGGTTGATCTAGGAAAACCCAATAATAATGAGAAGACTAAAAATTCAGAACAATCAATGATTGCTTCCTACCAAGACTAAGTCCAAGCGATGACCCGGATGACAAATCACCTTCTTTCAGTACAAAGGCTCGAAGGACAACACATGTTCGTTGTCGTTGGCTAATCCGAGCTGTGAAGGTTATGTTGGTTGGGACTGAGGACATCCTCCCCGTGTGGATTGTTACGAGATACTATGAATAGAGACCTAGTTAGGCAGCCCAAATGTGCACCCTTCGGTGCGTTCTTGTCCAGAGCTAGCAATCGCATCCATAATTCCATGTACAAACATCCATGGTGAAATCGCTACAGTGAAAACTAGCTAAGATTGCAACGACAGCATTTGCCGTCAACGCCGAAAATATGGGTTATTACCACTGCTCAAGCGGCGCATCTTGTGCAATTAGGAAATGGATTAACTCGTTTTGGTTGGGTGCACGATTCGGGCACATGCACCTACCATTTTCACATGTGCACGTCTACTTGCAATCAGCAGGAGTGCAGGAGCATATTCTTCTATGGCAGGCATTCACAAAGACTCCAAGACCAGCCGGCGCCGGCCGCCGTCGCACAAAACAACGGAACCTCCAAACCCGACGCGTCATGGCCTCTCTGATTTAACCAGGAGTGGTGCGGCGTCATAGTCATACACATACATAGAGTAGTCGAGCGCGTAGGGTGCAGCCACTAGCGCATGCATGCCTCTTCCGTCGTCGGAGATGGCGGAGGAACACGCCGGCGGCCAGCATGAGCAGCAAGTGGCGGCCGAGAGGCGAGCACGGCAGAAGCTGCTGTTCGCCGTCCCGATCATCCCGATCGTCATGTTCATCGTCGCGCCGTGCGCGCTCTTCTTGTTCACGGCCGACCTGGCGCTCCCACGCATCCGCATCGAGTACGCCCGCCGCGACGGCGACCGTGACGCTCCGGCCAGTGCGCTAGCGACGGCGGTGGCGGCTGTTCCCAGCGAGGAGCAACAGCAGCTCCCGCCGCTGCGCCAGCTGACCGACCGGCCCTACTCGCTCGGCCCGAACGTGTCCGACTACGACGCCCGCAGAGCGGCTTGGCTCGCGGCGCACCCTCGGTTCCCGGCCTTGGTCGCGCCGGGGCGGCCTCGGGTGCTGGTGGTCACCGGCTCGTCGCCGCGCCGGTGCAAGGACCCGGAGGGCGACCACGTGCTCCTCCGGGCGTTCAAGAACAAGGCGGACTACTGCCGCGTCCACGGCTTCGACATCTTCTACAGCAACGCGGTGCTGGACGCCGAGATGAATGGGTTCTGGACGAAGCTGCCGCTGCTGCGCGCGCTGATGGTGGCGCACCCGGAGGTGGAGCTCCTCTGGTGGGTGGACTCGGACGTGGTGTTCACGGACATGCTGTTCGAGCCGCCGTGGGGCAAGTACGCGCGGCACAACCTGCTGCTCCACGGCTGGGACGACGCGGTGTACGGCGCCAAGAACTGGCTGGGCACCAACGCCGGCAGCTTCGTCATCCGCAACTGCCAGTGGTCGCTGGACCTCCTGGACGCATGGGCGCGCATGGGGCCGCGCGGCCCGGTGCGCGACAGGTACGGGAAGGTCTTCGCGGAGGCGCTGTCCAACCGGGCGGCCTACGAGGCCGACGACCAGTCGGCGCTGGTGTACCTGCTGGTGACGGAGCGCGGCAGGTGGGGGGCCAAGGTGTTCCTGGAGAGCTCCTACCTCCTGCACGGGTTCTGGGAGGGGATCGTGGACCGGTACGAGGAGATGCGGAGCAAGGGGCGGCCGGGGCTCGGCGACGACCGGTGGCCGCTCGTGACGCACTTCGTCGGGTGCAAGCCGTGCGGGGAGCAGAGCGCGAGCTACGAGGCCGCGCGGTGCCGTCAGGGCATGGAGCGCGCGCTCAACTTCGCCGACGACCAGATACTCGGCCTCTACGGGTTCCAGCACGAGTCGCTCAACACCACGGCCGTGCGGCGCGTCAGGAACGACACCGGGCGGCCGCTGGACGCCGACGACGACCAGATCGGCCGCCTCCTGCACCCAGAGTTCAGGGCCGCCAACCCCTAGTGTCTAGTGATCAACTCCATCCTTCCATTGGTTTGGAAATGAACGTGCAGAGATCAGAACACGCAACACGTCCTACTTTACAGACAAGATTTTTTCTATGACTTGTAACATGTAGCTGTAGCCACCATTGTGTAGCATTATTGATTGTGAAATGTAAGTCATGTTAGTAGCATTCAAATGGATGCTGCTGTGTTCACACGTACGCATGCTTCATTCTTCATCTCCAGTGAGAGCAACAGAAAGCTTACAGCTTATTTCAGACGCCAATGCAAAAAAGGAAAAGCTACATTGGTAAGCAGAGTGACAGGATGAATACTGAAACTACTGATACTATGAAGTACAGTACAAGAAAATACTCCCTCCGTCCGAAAACCTAGATACATCCATTTGAGGGAGGGACAAGCTTTTTCGGATGGAAGTTTTCGGACGGAGGGAGTATATGGTCGCCTCCATGCATCACCTTATCCCAGACACCGAACCTGACAAATCAAATTTTGTTTCAAGTCAGATCACTAGCAGCACCTCCTTGCAATTGTAACACAATATTTGCAGGGGAATGACTGTATCATGTAGAACTGGAATAAAGACTGTTCGATCATCACTCGCAACAGCAATATAAAATGAAAATATAGGCCAACAATCGATCATAGTTTCATTATATTGCCTCTCTAATCAACCACATTTCCGTTACATTACCTTCCCTACCTACCAAGATATAGACTAAAACATTCGTACTAGGAAACTAGCTCTGATTTTTGCGTTTGACAATTATTCAGCAACTTTCGCCACTCAAGATGTCCGTTGTATTTGTCAGTGTAGTAAAGAAAATAATAGCCCCTCTTACTGTCAGTTGGGTACTGTCACAGTCTGCTGGTGCTAACAATAAATGATAAACATGGTCTCCGTTCAGACACTTTCATCAACTTTATCCAATGATAATGACAAAAAGCTCAGTATGAAATCGTCCAGGTCGCCTTCCAGGACTGAATCGGGATCAGACACTTCATAGTTTGTCCGGAGATCTTTGACCATGCGGTATGGCTACAAAAAAGGAAAACATATCAGTTTGACCTGAAGAACAATGATAAAAATATGCCACAAGCTTACGATTTTACATTCAGGAACATCTATCTACACTCTATGCTAACTCATTTCACTATTTTAATAGCCAAACGCTATGATATTTTTCACATTTTTTCTGAAACCTTACTATAAAGCTTCATGGCAGAAAATTGAAGTAAAACACATACTGAACAATGTGGTTGCATGGCAAAGTTCGTATGGTGCAGCTTCTTTCTTGATTCTCAATCAACAGCATGTGAGGACGCAAACAATGTAAAAGCAGGGGCGAATCCAGCTATATGACGAGGTTTGGCAGACGCCGAACCTAATATTGGACAAAAAATACTGTGTATATATACAGTATGTATGAAGATTTGATTCGAGTTGATAAAGTTCACTCCAGTTTTGTCATTTTGGAGGAGGAAGACTCCCATGAGCAGGCGACTCGGGGCAGATACGGGAGAGTCTTCCCACATGGATCGGCCCCCTCCAGTTTCGCCAGTGCCAGGAGCCCAGGACTTAATTGATTTTTTCTTTGAGGCGTTGGACTTAATAGATTAAGTACGTATTTCTTGCTTAGGTCTACGTGCTGAGGAGAGAATTAGTAATATAAGCCCACGATCCACAGGCCCACATACCTTCGTAGATCTAGTTTTTTGTGGGATCCCTCCTTCGTATATTTTGTTTTCTGTGGGGATCCATCCTTCGTATATGTTTTAGTTTCTCCGACTTAATATACTTTGCTTAGTTATCAATTAATAAAAATAAATCATTTTTTCTATTATATGTATTATTTTGTCATCTTTTAAATATTAAAGAGGAAGAGATCAACAGTAATACATATATACTTGTTTGATGGGTATGGTAGCAATTGCATATTTCCATCTAAATTTAAAAATATAGCTTTATGTGTGAGGCAGCAAGCATGAGCAACACATAGTTATATTATATATTGAATTTTTTCCTTTGTAAACTCTGCCACACCTAAAAATTATTCCTGCCTCCGCCAGTAAAAGGGCTGATGAATGCAGCGGAGTAGATAATGCAAGCTAAAGTTCTAAGTTTATCCTTGCCAAAGAAGTTAACCTAATCTTATTAATCTCGAAAGATGGAAGCCTCACCTGTAGCACATACGATCTTATTTGGTTTCCCCAGCTTATTTCAGAGAGTGATTGCGTGTGCTCTGCATTCATCTGTGCTTGACGGGTAATCTCAAGCTGGTCCAACCTAGATTGAAGCACCGCCATTGCTGATGCCCTATTCATATGTTGTGACCTGCATTTTTCTTAAAAAAGTTAGCACACATACGTTCTACTCAAGCAAAGGATTCAGGAAGTCCCTATTGATTACCAGTTAAGTGATACTCCCTCCGTCCTGAATTACTTGTCGCAGAAATGAATAAAAATGGATGTACCTAGAACTAAAATACGTCTAGATACATCCATTTCTACAACAAGTAATTCCCGACAGAGGGAGCATATGATAACAGTGCTGCTTATATTCAACAGATTTATAAATATATTTTTATTGAGCTATGATTAAATATTTGAAATTCTAAACGCATCAAAACTACCTTTCATTTTGACAAGTTGCCGTTGTACCAGTTGGGATGTGCACAATTCTAACAGCACTTTCTGTGGTGTTGGCATGCTGGCCGCCAGGTCCACCAGAACGGAAGCGTTCTATCCGAAGATCCGATTCGTTTATCTGGTATCGGCTAGAGGCCTCACCAAGAATAGGTATTACAGCGACAGCAGCAAAGGAAGTGTGCCGCCGCTTTCCACTGTCAAATGGAGAAATCCGCACTAATCTGTGAACTCCTATTTCAGATTTGGCATATCCAAATGCATACTCGCCATCAACTTTGATAGTAGCCCTCTGGAATAGCAGGTATACAGTATAAGATCAACAGTTTGCTAAAATCGGCCTAAAATGAAAAGTAAAAATAAATGAGAGCTTAATGTGCACATGGCTTAATTTCACATTCGTTTTCATCTCTAGAAATTGATAAAACTGCACTAATTATGCATTAAGTGGTGAACTGACCGGATTGAGTGATGGGAAGCGATGAAAAAATAAAACAAGCAAACCTTGATTCCTGCTAGTTCACCGGGTATTTCTTCTATAACAGTGACTCTGTATCCCCGTCGCTGAGCCCATGATCTGTACATGTTCATAACCATGGCAGCCCAATCCATGCTCTCAACGCCTCCGGCTCCTGCTTGGACCTGGTTATGGGATCATGCAAGGAATGCCACAAATAACATCACTATGAAGCTTAAAAGAAACATTACTGTTCCAATTTTTCGGGCTAATGTACAGACTACAGAGTTATAGAGTGATCACTGCATTAAGAAATAAGAATTGCTTAAGATAATGTGAAGAACATACCTCAATGAAGCAAGGGTAAACGTCATTATCTCCAGAAAGCAATGCATTGAGTTCTTTCTCCTTTGCATCTCTTCTCATATCAGCCAATGCTCTCATGGATTCCTGCACAGGACAGTTAACCGGGCTATAAAATAAGCAGCTAGTTTGCACCATGAAGGGTTCCAGCAAAGATCGATGTAAGTGTGTTTGGAGCTCAATACAGTGTAATTATGTAAAAGAAGCAATGTATTCACCGTCTCGAGTTCATTGTCACCCTCTTCACGTGCAAGCCTCAACATGTCGATGTGCTCCATCAATTGTTGCTCGAATTGGTTCACTGACTTAATCTTGCCCATGAGCTCGCCTTGTTCACGACTAACATTCCCAGCAAAAACTGGATCCTCCCAGAGGTCTGGCTTCTCCAATACCACAGCCAACTGCTTCGATCTCTCCAGTAACCATTTCCACTGCGAAAATTAAAACCCAATTCAAGAAGCTCACAGAGGTAAGTCCACACAAACACATTCCAATACCTATCCACAGCCACTCTACCAGCAACTATGCAAAAATGTGAAAGTCCCCACAAACATATCCCAACACCTGATCCTGCGTCACTCTACCTGGAACTATGCAAAAATGTGCTTGAACAGAGATCGTTGCACATACGCACACACTTACGCGTGCACCTGAGAACGAACAGTAGGTGTTTGTCGATATGCCCGAGAGAAACAAGTAAATCAGATGCACATCCCAACACTACAAATGAATAACACTCGACGCCCGGATCGATCTCGAGTACGGAAGATGGAGAGCAACAAGTATCGTACAAGATTGGACCTTGAGACGCTTCTTAATAAGCCTGATGGACTGCGCGACGGCGGCGGCGTGGCTGCGCCAGTCGCTCTCGGCCTCGGCGAGGATCGTCCAGCCCTTGTCGGCAATAGAGTCCACAGTCAGGCCGTCTACCGTCCTCGGCGCCTCGACCACCGGCGCCGGCGAAGAGAACCACCGAGTCGGCTCGAGGAGGGGGCGTGATCCGACGGTGGCAGGAAGGCCGTGAGTGGGTCCCAGAAGGGAGGACATGGCAGCTCCATGTGTGGGGAGGTGGTGGGTAGGATTCGGTGTCCTGGAGCGGAGGTGGGAGAGGAGGGCCGCGGCCGTTGATCTGGTTATGAGGCGGGAAGCCATTCCCGTCTACTCCGACGCTGGCTGCGGGGGAAGGGCTCGACAGGAGCTCGTATGTCTTGTGTTGGATGAACCGGAATACGGAAGACGTTTTCGCTGTGCAGAAGGCGCCTCTCAATGGAAAATGTGTTTTGGCCAAAGGAAAAAAAAAGCGCCCTATTTCGCTGTTATAGCGTCGCTATAACGTCTCCCTATGGGCAGATCTCCTAAAAATCCCAAACCGTAAAACTGGTTTTACGGGTTGCAAATTCGTCACGCGGAACAGATACACGAAACACCCTCAAAAAAAAAAGATACACAAAACGGTATTGGATAATTCAAAAACCTATTTCACGCAATTTTGTTTAGTGAGATCATGCAGCAGTTCATCACGAACACAATTCACAAACGAAAACGAGTTCATCAAACAGAGTTCATACTAACATACGAAAGGATTACATACTAACGGAGACCTAACCCTAACCCTAGTTTGTCAAAATTTCTCGCCGCCGTGCTCACTCATCGTAGTTGAGGTAGTGCTTGACGGCAGACTTGCGTAGCGCACACGCTAGCTCATGCTCCTTATTGGCAGCTTCGAGGAGGCCCTGAGCACCTTCTTTCGTCGTTCGCCACCGCGCGCTGCCAACATATTCGGCGGCGGCGGCGCACCACCTCCTGATGCGGGGCAAGATGTGCTTGTCGAGCACATCGAAGCCAGCCCACGTGTCTTGCCTGCTCCTCCGGTAGAGCTAGGTGCGGTACCGTCCTGCGTCGATCTCCACGTGCGTCGTGCCTTGTGCTCATCATCGCTGGAGCTAGAGACCATCACGCGCGGGTGGAGCTTCCAGCCTCTGTGTCGTGGCAGGCGCGATTGCTCAGCGGTGCACGGAGGTGGCTGCCACGACTTCCACCCGGGCCACGGCTAGATCCGCCGACCATCGATCTACCGGAGACGGAGAAAAATGAGAGAGGAGCGAGAAACTGCTCGTCGAAATTGGCCAAGCCTAGCAGCGTTGGACACGAAATGTGGCGGAGGGGAACGCGCGCGCGGGGGAGGGGGGTGGGGGCGCTAACCCTAAATGCCCTCGGTACCGCTCGGCGGAGGGGGCACATATCTGGATCCCTTGTTTTTTTTGGACCAAGCCGATATGCGGTACCTGTTCGGGATGTATGAAAGGCAAAAACTGCATATTGGCCGGAATTTTCTAAGCATGAGGGATTTTAGTGGATCTGTTAGAGATGCTCTAAGTGCACTATAGCACCGCTAAATCTCGCTAAGCACAACGTCATAGCGTTATAGCATACACGGTGCACCCGACAGCAACACACCACACGCTGCAGCCCATCGACCCACCCAGCTCACTCTAACTCTCTCTAAAACGCCCATCAAGACCTAACCTAGCCCGCCCAATCCTCAGTTCCTAGACCCAATCCCCAGTTCGATGGGTCATGAGTAAGGACGGCGGAGGCAGAGGCGTCTCTTGACCGGCAGTGGCTACGATGTCTCGCGAGCGAAGGCGGAAACGACGGTTTGTGAGCAGCTGTTGTTTCTCGGTGGCGGTTCCTTCCAATCTAGCGGCGTGTGCAGGCCTCCAACTCAAGCAAGCCAATGACCATGTCAGCCAGCTGTCGGCACCGACAAGTCAGCCACCAAGTAGCTAACCTCTCTTCATCCAGTCTCTAGGTAGCGATGTAGGCGACAGGCTATTCCTTGCTGCTGTCAGCCACCAAGTTGTTGAGGAACGTAGCATGCAATTTCAAAAAAATTCGTACGATCACGCAAGGTCTATCTAGGAGATGCATAACAGCGAGAGGGAGGGTGTCCACGTACCCTCGTAGACCGAAAGCGAAAGCGTTAGTTAACGCGGTTGATGTAGTCGAACGTCTTCACAATCCAACTAGTCCAAGTACCGAACGTACGACACCTCCGTGTTCAGCACACGTTCAGCTCGATGACGTCCCTCGAACTCTTGATCCAGTAGAGGGCCGAGGGAGAGTTCCGTCAGCACGACGGCGTGGTGATGATGTGATCCGCGCAGGGCTTCGCCTAAGCACTACGACGCTATGACCGGAGGAGTAAACTGTGGAGGGGGGCACCACACACGGTAAAGAGAACAATTGATGTGCTTTGGGGTGCCCCCTGCCCTCGTATATAAAGGAGGAGGGGAGGAGGCGGCCAGCCATGGGGCATGCCAAGTGTGGGGAGTTCTATTAGGACTCCTAGTCCTAGTAGGATTCCCCTTTCCTTTCCTGAGAAGGGGAGAAGGGGAAAGAGGTGGAGGAGAAGAAGAAAGGGGGGCCGCGCCCCCACCCCTAGTCCATTTCGGTTTGGGCTTGGGTGGGCGCGCACCTCCACCTGGCCGCCGGCCTCCTCTCTCCACTAGGGCCCATGAAGGCCCAATAGTCCCCCGGGGGGTTCCAGTAACCTCCCGGTAGTCCAAAACTTATCTGATACTTCCCAAAACTATTCTAGTGTCTGAATGTAACCTTCCAATATATCAATCTTTACCTCTCGACCATTTCTAGACTGCTTGTAACGTCCGTGATCTCATCCGGGACTCCGAACAAACTTCAGTCATCAAAAACACATAACTCGTAGTACAAATCATCATCGGATGTTAAGCGTGCGGACCCTACGGGTTCGAGAACTATGTAGACATGATCGAGACACATCTCCGATCAATAACCAATAGCAGAACCTGGATGCTCATATTGGCCCCTACATATTCTACGAAGGTCTTTATCGGTCAAACCGCACAACAACATACGTTGTTCCCTTTGTCATCGGTATGTTACTTGTCCGAGATTCGATCGTTGGTATCTTCATACCTAGTTCAATCTCGTTACTGGCAGGTCTCTTTACTCGTTCTGTAATGCTTCATCCTGTAACTAACTCATTAGTCACATTGCTTGCAAGGCTTACAGTGATGAGCATTACCGAGAGGGCCCAAACATACCTCTCCGATACACGGAGTGACAAATCCTAATCTCGATCTATGCCAACTCAACAAACACCTTAGGAGACACATGTAGAGCATCTTTATAATCACCCAGTTACGTTGTGACGTCTGATAGCACACAAGGTGTTGCTCCGATATTCAGGAGTTGCATAATCTCATAGTCAAAGGAACATGTATAAGTCATGAAGAAAGCAATAGCAATAAAACTTAACGATCATAATGTTAAGCTAACAGATGGGTCTTGTCCATCACATCATTCTCTAATGATGTGATCCCGTTCATCAAATGACAACACATGTCTATGGTCAGGAAACATAACCATCTTCGATTAACGAGCTAGTCAAGTAGAGGCATACTAGGGACACTTTGTTTTGTCTATGTATTCACACATGTACTAAGTTTCCGGTTAATACAATTCTAGCATGAATAATAAAAATTTATCATGATATAAGGAAATATAAATAACAACTTTATTATTGCCTCTAGGGCATATTTCCTTCAGTCTCCCACTAGCACTGGAGTCAATAATCTAGATTACATAGTAATGATTCTAATACCCATGGAGTCTTGGTGCTAATCATGTTTTGCTCGTGGAAGAGGCTTAGTCAACGGGTCTGCAACATTCAAATTCGTATGTATCTTGCAAATCTCTCTGTCTTCTTCCTTGACTTGATCGTGGGTGGAATTGAAGCGTCTCTTGATGTGTTTGGTTCTCTTGTGAAATCTGGATTCTTTCGCCAAGGCGATTGCTCCAGTATTGTCACAAAAGATTTTCATTGGACCCGATGCACTAGGTATTACGCCTAGATCAGATATGAACTCCTTCATTCAGACTCCTTCATTTGCTGCTTCTGAAGCAGCTATGTACTCCGCTTCACACGTAGATCCTGCCACGATGCTCTGCTTGGAACTGCACCAACTAACAACTCCACCATTCAATATAAATACGTATCCGGTTTGTGACTTAGAGTCATCCGGATCAGTGTCGAAGCTTGCATCGACGTAACCATTTACAACAAGCTCTTTGTCACCTCCATAAACAAGACACATATCCTTAGTCGTTTTTAGGTATTTCAAGATGTTCTTGACCGTTGTCCAGTGATCCACTCCTGGATTACTTTGGTACTCCCTGCTAAACTTATAGCAAGGCACACATCAGGTCTGGTACACAGCATTGCATACATGATAGAACCTATGGCTGAGGCATAGGGAATGACTTTCATTTTCCCTCTATCTTCTGAAGTGGTCGGGCATTGAGTCTGACTCAACTTCACACCTTGTAACACAGGCAAGAACCCTTTCTTTAACTGATCCATTTTGAACCTCTTCAAAACTTTATCAATGTATGTGCTTTGTGAAAGTCCAATTAAGTGTCTTGATCTATCTCTATAAATCTTGATGCCCAATATATAAGGAGCTTCACCGAGGTCTTTCCTTGAAAAAAATTTATTCAAGTATCCTTTTATGCTATCCAGAAATTCTGTATTATTTCCAATCAACAATATGTCATCCACATATAATATTAGAAATGCTACAAAGCTCCCACTCACTTTCATGTAAATACAGGCTTCTCCAAAAGTCTGTATAAAACCATATGCTTTGATCACATTATCAAAGCGTATATTCCAACTCCGAGAGGCTTGCACCAGTCCATAAATGGATCGCTGGAGCTTGCACACGTTGTTAGCACCTTTTGGATCGACAAAACCTTTTGGTTGCATAATTTACAACTCTTCTTTAAGAAATCCATTAAGGAATGCAGTTTTGACATCCATTTGCCAAATTTCATAATCATAAAATGCGGCAATTGCTAACATGATTCGGACAGACTTAAGCATCGCTATGGGTGAGAAGGTCTCAACGTAGTCAACTCCTTGAACTTGTCGAAAACCTTTCACAACAAGTCAAGCTTTGTAGAGAGTAACATTACCGTCAGCATCAGTCTTCTTCTTGAAGATCCATTTATTTTCTATGGCTTGCCGATCATCAGGCAAGTCCACTAAAGTCCACACTTTGTTCTCATACATGGATCCCATCTCAGATTTCATGGCCTCAAGCCATTTC